GACCCTCACGGTCCCTGGTGCCTGCAGCTCAGCTTTGCTTCTGCTCTTCATTGCAGCCTGGAGTGGGATTGAGGAAGGGGCCAGCGGCTGCAAAGAGGAGCTGGAGCCGGGCTGCACCCCCGGACGCCGGTCAGGGGCTGCCACGCCAGCCGGCTGGTGCGGTCGCCCTCCCTCGTGTGCGTTGGCGGGTGGTCACCATGGAGGAGATGGTGATCTGGGAGCAGCACACGGTGACACTGAGCAAGGTGAGCAGGGCCCAAGGTGGCCGCAGGAGGGGATGGGGTCTGTGGGCCGGCTCTGCCTGACCCCTCTCTGCCCGTCCTTGCCAGGACCCTCAACGGGGATTTGGCTTCGCTGTCTCCGGAGGCCGGGACCGTCCCAACAGGATTACCGGGGACACAGCGGTGGTTGTTTCGGATGTGGTGCCTGGGGGACCGGCGGTGGGCCGGCTGCAGTGAGTGTGTGGGGACACGGGGTGCTTGCTGTCAGCGGGGACAGGGAGGACAGCAAATCACTTCTGCTAGGACAGGGCCAGCGCTGCTGCCACCCTGCCTGGATGGGATGGGGTCCCCCTAGGGCAACAAGGTGCCCTCGCCACCCTGCCAGCTCCCACTGCTGGGGACTGCACCGGGGGCAAAGCCACGGCTGCATTTTCCCTCACAGGAGGAAGGATCACATCGTGATGGTGAACGGCCTTTCCATGGATAATGTCTTGTCCTCCTTCGCCATCCAGACACTTAAAACCTGTGGCAAGATCGCCAACATCGTGAGTGTGCCCTGCAGCAAGATGGGGGCTGGCGTCATGCACCAGACTGCGCTGTGCCTGTCCCCATCCTGGCTCCCTTGTCCCACACACTCCAGGGTTTCTGTCTGCGGCTTAGAAATTGCTGTAGAAGTATCTCCTGGCAGAGACAACTGCACCCCCCATCCTCTTGTTCTCACTTTCCACCTGCAGACACTGAAAAGACCAAAGAAAGTCCACCTCCCTGCGAGCAAGAGCAGCGCTGGGTCCCCCACTGTGCCCCGACACTGTGGCTTGGATGAGGACAGCGGGTTGTGTGGTGCGGATCCAGCCCTGCACCACTCCCGGGATGACCTGGACCACAGCCAGGGCTATGACGGGGACTCATCCAGCGAGAGAAGCTCTGGCCACCACCAGGATGACCGCCGCCACCCCAAGCCGGTGTCCCGGAGCCAGAGGCGAAGCCAGCACAGCAGCCACTGGAGGCAGAGCCCTGGCAGTGGCTCAGATCGGAGGGGCTACAGCCGGCACCGCTCTGCCAATGGCTTCAGCCCCGCAGGGGACACCAACGGGCTGGTCCTGGTGTCGGGCTTCAAGCGGCTGCCATGCCGGGATGTGCCGATGAAGCCCATCACATCAGTCCTGGTGAAGCAGAAGCAGAATGAAGGTGAGGCCCCCCACTCCCTCTGTCCCTGGGTCTTGTCACCTGATTTGTGACTCTGCGTTCCCCTGGGGAGGAGGCAGTGGCAGGGTGGCTGCCAGGGTCTGGCACGCAGCGAGGGAGCAGTGGGTGCTGGGCGCACCGGACCTGCCTGGCCTCAGCCTGGGGATGCAGAACTCGGCTTTGGGGCTTGCTGGTGCTCCACGGGCGCTGGGGTGGGCTTGTGGGGGTGGTGGCGAGGGGGCACCTTGAGGGGGTCCTGCATCTGCCTGGCTGTGGCACTGTCATGGGCTCTCTCTGCGGCAGAGTATGGCCTGAAGCTGGGAAGTCGGCTCTTCATCAAGCACATAGTGGAGAGCGGGCTGGCAGCCAAGGCCAGCTCCTTGCAGGAGGGAGACCTCATCCTGAAGGTATGGGGGCCCACGGGGAACACAGCGCTGGCTGGGGTTCTCATCTCCCCCTCTCCAGATGGCTCTTTCCTGGCTAGTGTCACCGCAGGGGACAAGCCAAGAGTGTGCTTCTCTTGGCTGCGTGCGAAGGTGCCTGCACCCTGCCCCAGCTCCCCGGCCGTCACCAGGGACCCCGCGTGGGCTCTCGGGGACCTGCTGGCTGGTTGAGGCAGCGCCGCAGCGTTCAGCCAGGGGTGGTGGCTTGTCCCGCTGCCCCAGTGGAGTCATGTCTGCTCCACTGTCCCCACAGGACATGGTTCCTGGCCACTGTTGCGTGTCCCCGCTGGGGAGCAGTTGTCCAAGGAGCTCAGGTGCTCAGGCTATGTCAAGTGAAACGTTGCTTAAAGTATTTGGGGAGGAGGAAGGAGAGGGAGGGAGACAATTCATTTGCACATGTGGGCCAGGCAGGCCCGTGGCTACTGGGAAGTGGGGCCAAAACAGCTATGGGGCAAACAGGAGGGATTTCATCCCAGCAACCTGATGGGAAAGCTGATGCACCTCGGGGAGATCACAGCACCATGGTCTGCCTGGGGCCTGCTTCCCTGGCACCAGTCCAGCGTGTGGAAGGACAGCATGAGGCCAAGGTCAAAGTAAAACTGAATTTTGGGCATCTGAGCATGTCTCTGCAGCTCCTGCTTCTGTGCAGGACCCCCTGAAGCTAAAGGTGGGAGTTAATTAGCCGCTGTGCAGGATGAGGTTCCACTGGGAGGCAGCCAGGAACGGGGATGCAGCCCAGGATAGTTGAAGCCCTGGGAGCTGGGGCCGGGCTGGAGGGGCTGGGAAGGGACTGGGGAGGCAGCAGTCGGAGCATCCCATTCAAGCGGGGCTTTCCTGGTGGCGGCTTTCCCAGGAGCGAATGCCCTGAGGCCGCCTGCTCTGCCCCCTCCAGATCAATGGGGTGGCCAGCGAGGACATGTCCCTGGCTGACACCCAGCAGCTCATCGAGCGGACAGAGGGGACCCTGACCCTACTCATCCTCCGGGACCACCGGCAGTTCCTGGTCAACATCCCTGATGTAGAGGACAGCCAGAGCGACAGCTCCCGGATGGATGGTGAGGGCACACAGTGACGGGGCCGGGGGCCAAACACCAGCATAAGGACTGGACATTCACTCGTGCATCTTCCCTCCTGTTGCTGCAGATATCTCCGACATTGAGTCTGAACTGTCCCATCCGTCATCCCTTGAGACCCCCCTGCAACCTCCAGCTGCTACCGGGATGAATTCACCACCGTAAGCCCCGCTCTGGGCCCATGAGCCACACTTTCCCCCGTCAGACTCCCCAGTGTTCTCTGCCTGTCTGGAGGGGCTGGTTCTCCTCCACCCAGGAGCTGGTTCACCCTGGAGGTGGAACTGCCTTTTAGCCCTCAGCTTGCTCCGCTGTCCCCGCTGCCCACTCAGTGCTACCGGCCTGTGCTTGTCCAGCACCTGCCTCCGTGACCGCCTAAATCCTGCCCCAACTTTGTTCCAGGGAGAGGAGACGTTCGAACAGGGACCCTGCAGCCGACATGGTTGTTGATGGTGCTCAGGGCCCGGGTGAGTGAGCTCAGATCAGGCTGGGGGAGTGAAGGGCACTGAGTGGGCTCCAGCCTCCTCCACGTTCCCCCTGGCAGAGCCGTGCCAGGTCTTGCTGTGCCTTGTTGGCCCCACCAGCGGCGCAGCCACTGCTGCCTCCTGGACCCACCTTCCTTCCTGCAGACCTGCTGGGAGCTGTGGAGGGGGATGGCTGCCACAGCCCCCACGCTAGCCCAGCTGCCCGAGCTGCCCACAAGGACAGGTACGTCTGTCAGAGCTGGTGGGGAACGGCCGGGGGAGATGGGGAGCTGCTGCTCTCAGTGGTTGGGGTCCCAGGGCTGGTGACCCCCTGTGCTGTCTCCAGGATGCCACTGCTGGGCTGACCGCAGCTTCCCCTGGGGCAGGTACAGCTCCGACTCCAGGGTCGTGCACTTTGTGAAGGGCAAGAGCGTCGGGCTGCGGCTGGCCGGCGGGAATGACGTGGGCATCTTCGTGTCGAGCGTGCAAGAGGGGAGCCCCGCCGACAGCCAGGGCGTCCAGGAAGGGGACCAGATCCTGCAGGTACTTGGGGCTGGGAGTGGCTCGGGACGCTGCTGCACCCAGCCTGGCCCATCCCTCCCGGGTCTGATACCTGCCCAGGGTTTGCATTTCTCTTGCTGGGCATCATTTTGGGTCAGTGCTGGTGCCTGTGGCCTGGCTCTGTCGGGCTGGCTCTGCAGCACGGCCCAGGGGGACGGTCCTGTCTCCAGCACTGTGCTAACACCCAGCAGGTCCAGGCACCACCTCAGCTGGCCCAGAAGCCCTCCCCAGTGTTACTGGGGGTTGTGGCTGGCACTTGGGTGACAGGGACCACCCTGCCCTGGGCACTGCTGTCCATGGGGTCCCTGCGGATACCCACCCCCTCTGTCCCACCAGTGGGGCCGTGGCTGAGTGTTTTCCACGGCAGGTGAATGACACCAGTTTCCAGAACCTGACCCGTGAGGAGGCCGTGGAGTATCTCATGAGCCTGCCACTGGGAGAGGATATCACGCTGTGGACCCAGAGCAAGCAGGACAGTGAGTGACGACCGGATGCATCCTGGGCTTGTGCCTCTCCATCCTCTGTCTCTTCTCAGCAAGCATCAGAGCTGCTGGAGTTGCCATGGTCCTTTCTGGCCCCGCAGGGTGGTTCTATTTCCCTGCACCCTCCTCCTCCTCCAGAAAGGTGATGGGAGGGGATCAGACCATCCCAGCCCCATTTGTGCCTCAGCATCCTGGAGCACAGAGGCACGATGGCTTAGCCTGGAGAGCCCAGTGTGTGCTGGGGGTCGGGTCCTGCTGTCGCCAGCATGCCTGAGAGAGCCATGGGAGGAACAGGTGTCCCCAGCACCCTCCTTAGCAGCAAGGACTCCTGTGGAGGCTCCTGGCCAGTCTAGCTCCTTCCCAGATCCCTCTAGCACCTTCCTCTCCAGCATCTTCCTTCTCAGCCACCTCTTCCCCTGATGGTTCCTCTCACCCTGGGCTCCAGTTTACAGGAAGATGATCTCATCCAACGTGGGTGACTCGTTCTACATCCGGACACACTTTGACTTTGAGAAGGACACACCGTCGGGGCTCAGCTTCACCCGTGGGGATGTCTTCCACGTGCTGGACACCATGTACCGGGGCAGGCTGGGGAGCTGGCTGGCTGCACGCATGGGCAGGGACCTGCAGGAGAAGGAGAAGGGCATCATCCCCAACCAGAGCAGGTAGGGATGGAGCCAGGAATGGCCCCAAGGTGATCAGATCCACAGAATCCCAGAATCATCTTAGTTGGAAAGGACCTTGGAGATCCTCCAGTCCAACCATGACCCCCACCCTGACCGTTCCCAGCTCCCCCAGACCCCTCAGCGCTGGCTCAGCCCGACTCTTCAACCCCCCCAGGGATGGGGACTCCCCCCGTGCCCTGGGCAGCCCATTCCAACGCCCAACAGCCCCTTCTGCACAGAAATCCTTCCTCAGAGCCAGCCTGACCCTGGGGACAGGAGCGGTGGGCCCACTAAGGATCAGGGCAAGGGGTGGTGGGGCAGCAGTGGGAAGCATGAGCCAGTGAAATCCTTCTCAGGGGTGGTGGGGCGGTTGATACTTCGGTTGTCCAAGGTCCTGGAGGGAAGAGGCCACCACAGCCTCATCTTGGCTGCACCACTGAATGGGAACGCTGGTGTCTGTCCTGCTCCTCAGAGCCGTAAGAGGCAAAGCCAGGTGTAAATCCAGAGACTCCGGGTTCTGAACATTTTCTCTTCCCAGGGCCGAACAGATCGCCAGCCTGGAGTCGGTGCTGAAAGCCACGTCTGGTGTCAACCCCTCCGGGGCACGGGCTGAGTTCTGGAAGCTGCGGGGCCTGCGGGGGGCCAAGAAGATGCTGCGAAAGAGCCGGGAGGACCTGTGTGCCCTCACAAAGCAGGGCCGCTACCCGCCGTACGAGAGGGTGGTCCTGAAGGAAGGTGGGCACCAGAGCTGTGTCCCCATCGCCTTGACCCACCCCGCTGTGGGTGCTGGTGGGCTCCGCTCTCCTGGAGGGGTGGGGTGAGTCCCAGGCCCACGGGCACCTCGAGGAGTGGGGCTGGACGCCTGGGTTCTGTGAGCTCTGCCCTCACCTCCAGCCTCCCGGAGCTGATCCGTCTTCTCCTCACAGCCAACTTCAAGCGGCCGGTGGTGATCCTGGGCCCAATTGCAGACGTGGCCATGCAGAAGCTGAGCACGGAGCTGCCCGAGCTGTTTGAGATTGCCCGTAAGTGCCCACCCTGCCAGGGGGAAATTGTATCCAGGAGTTGCTCCCTCAGCGTCCAGGATGTGTGGGAGCTTTTTACCTGCAGCTCTGTCCCGATACTGCCCCACTTCCCCCTCCCCGTGACACCCCAACACCTTCCTGGACTCATTCACCCTCTTCCCATGCATCGTGGTACCAGGCAGGCCCCAGCCATGCCCCTCCCTCGGGGGACACAGCCCTGGGGCCAGGCACAGCCAGACCCAGCCTGGGGCTGCCAGAGATCACAGAATCCCAGAGTCATTCGGGTTGGAAAAGCCCCTCGGGATCACCGAGTCCAACCCTCAGCCCGACTCTACAAAGCTCTCCCCTACCTCACATCCCCCCCAGCTCATCCCCACGGCCCTGAAACCCCCCCAGGGATGGGGACTCCCCCCTCCCCGGGCAGCCTGTTCCACTCTCGGACCACTCTTGCTGGGAAACATTTTCTCTCCTGCCCAGCCTGACCCTCCCCTGGGGCAGTTTCCAGCCGTTCCCTCTTGTCCTGTCCCTGATCCCCTGGGAGCAGAGCCCAGCCCCGGCCTCTCTGCAATGTCCTGTCAGGAGCTGCAGAGAGGGATGAGGGCTCCCCTCAGCCTCCTCCTCCTCACCCTGAGCACCCCCAGCCCCTTCCCTGGCTCCTCACAAGATTTATTCTCCAGCCCCTCCCCAGCCTCATTGCCCTCCTCTGCCCTCGCTCCAGCCCCCCGAGATCTTTCTTGTATTGAATGCCAAATCTCCCCCAGCCCCTCTCACGCCATGTCTCTGTGTCCTGCAGCGAGCGTGCCCCGAGATGGGGCATCGTCCAAGGTCATCAAGTTGGACTCGGTGCGGCAGATCGCAGAAAAGGTGAGAGACCTTTCCCGTGTCCTTGGAGCCAGGTGGGCCAGGGCCTGGCGGGGAGCCCACGGCCGGTGGGGCTGATGGCCGTGCCCTGCCCCAGGACAAGCATGCCTTGTTGGACATCACGCCCTCGGCCGTGGAGCGTCTCAACTACGTGCAGTACTACCCGGTGGTGGTGTTCTGCGAGCCCGAGAGCCGGCAGGGCATCAAGGCCATGCGCCAGTGGCTGGTGCCCGACTCCAGGAAGAGCTCCCGGCGCCTCTATGCCCAGGCCAGCAAGATGAAGAAGTACTGCAGCCACCTTTTCACTGCCACCGTCAGCCTCAGCGGCAGCAGCAACACCTGGTATGAGGCGATCAAGGACATCATCAGGACGCAGCAGAGCCAGCCTGTCTGGACAGCAGTGGAGCAGGTATGGGGCACGGGAGCCTTGCGGCCAGGCTCAGCTGCTGCGGCTGCAGTGGGGCAGGGGCCGGGGCCACACACCCAGCACCCCCACACCAGGGGTCCCAGGTCTCTGTCACCCCCACCCTGCAGGCAGACGTGGCGCTGGAGGACAGTCTGGACCTGCTGAACCCGCCAAGCGCGGCGGCCTCGGGCTACCTGAGCTGCGACAGTCACGCCAACAGCGACTATGACACGGATGGCGAGGCGGGTGCCTACACCGATGGTGAGGCAGAGGAGGTCTGTGACCAGCCTGGGCTGGCCCGCTCCTCCGAGCCAGCACCAGTGGCCCCAAGCAACGTCCTGAGCGGGGAGGTGGGTCCCCCCATACCGGTATGAGGAGCTGGTGGGGCAGTGGGGGGTGGCACAGTGCCTGGCTACGGGGGCTATTTCCTCTCCCCTGTGGCACAGGCAGGGTGACACCTCCAGCTGCTGCAGGTCCAGCTGCACATCCCTGCCCAGCTCTGGGAAAACAGCCCAGCTCCAGGCTGGGGCACAAATCCTGCCCCTACCTCTGACCCCCTCGTCTCTCTGGTCTTTCCCAGGTGACCGAGCAGCAGCGGCAGAGCCGGCGCTACGACAGCATCAGGTACCCTGTGCCCCGGGGCCGGCCAGGTGGGGGGGCTGGGGAAGGGCCTGCGGAGCTCTGGGTGCCAGCTCTGCCTGGCCAGACCCCGCCCAGCAGAGAACTGTCCCTGCCACCCATCCCGACCAGGCGGCAGAGGCAGCACCCCTGCTTCTTACCCCCCAGGGAATACGAGCATGAAGCCGTGAGGAAGAGGTTCACACGGGCCAGGGATGACTCGGACCAGGATGAGGGCTATGAGTGGGGCCCAGCTACAGACGTGTAGTGGCATCGCTGGCCTTCATCCCCCTTGGGCCAGCCCTGCTGCCGCCCCACGCGACAGCCCAGGTAGCGCCATGCAGCACCCCCTGGCCAGGCTGGGCCTAGCCCTGCTGTACCCCTCGCCACTCCGCACCATCGAGTGCCTCCTTCCCCTTTTGGCCATGGCCTCTGCTGCTGGAATAAAAGGGACGTTTTGATCAGGACAGGCTGTTTCCATCTGTGCTGAGGAAACCCCTGGAGCAGGGTGGCCTGGCTGGGCCCCAGGCACCGCCGCAGCCGCGCAGCATCGGTGCGGGGATGAGCCTCAGGGGTGCTGAGGTCTGGCAGCGCAGCAGGCCCAGGGCACAGCCCCTCGAGCTGAGCCTCCTCTGCTGCAGCCCAACCGGGGTACCCGAAACGCAGCCTCCCATGTTCCCCAAAACTTTTTATTTTTACATCAACCAAGCACACAGGTGAAGTCAGGTCAGCGCTGCCTCGGCCGTAGGGGCCCAGAGCCCCTCTCATGAAAAAACACATCACCAGGGGCTGGTCCCTGAGGCTCCCTGGGGTGTGGGACCGGGCAGGGCTGCATTCCCTTTCGCTGTGCCCAAGGACAGCCCCAAGGGCTGCGACCCCACGCCCCGGCTGTGTGTGCGTGCAGAGCAGGTAAAGGCAGCACCAGGGAGAAGCAGAGGTAGTTTCCCAGCTTGGTGCAACAGATCTAACGTGAATTTGTTTGCACCCCCACCAGGCCCCTGGCAAAGCCAGGGAGGAAGAAGGGGTGCCAAGGGTGCTGCTGTCCTTAAGGCTGAGTCTGGGAGCCCTTGGGGGTGCCAGCCTGCACCCACACAACGCTGGTGTGCAGGGTCAGTGCTGCTCTGGGACTGCGCTTAGGGCGAGCCCCGGAGCTGTGTGCTTCCAGCACCATCCCCACGGCGGGAAAGGCACCATCGGTGAGTGTAAAAGCACTACCTGTGGTCACGGGACGGGATGACCTTTCGTGCAGGGCCCCCTCTCCTGCCAGCCCCAGGCCAAGGCGAAGGGACCGTGAAGCAGCAGGAGAGGCACTGTGCAGGCACTGAGAGGCAGGGAGGGGTGGAATGGACGGGGAGGTGCCCAAACCTCCACCATAGGCCCTGACACTGCTCAAGATGGGTGTCAGGCCCCCAGAGTCTCCCAATGTGTCCTGAGTAAAACCGCAGAGGTGCAGGATTAGGCCCTGCTGGGAACCAGAGGGCCCCGATAAGGGTGCTGGGGCAGAGGCAGAGCTTGTTGTGGCCCCGGGCTCGCTCCTGCCTGGGCCCCAACGGCTCATAGGAAGAGAGGCTGCTCCTGCCCGGTCAGTAAGCGGTACGTGGAGGCTGGCATGGTCTTGATGTGGACCTGGGCAGAAACACACAGATCAGGTGGGAGAGGCCAAAACCCTGGGCCCGGCCCGCTCCGTGTGTGGGAACAGCCGCCCTGCAGCACGGGGGCCCTGAGCAGCCCCCGGCGCCGGCCCCGCTCACCTCGCTGACCGCCTGCGTGAGGATCTGGATGATCTTCTCGTGGGGCGTTGCCACCACGCTCTGCCCGTTGATCTCGATGATGCGGTGCCCCACGCGGATGCCGCCTCTCTCTGCGATGCCCCCGCGCATCAGGCTGCAGATCTGGGAGAAGGGAGCTGGTGAGAACAGAGCTGTGACCACAGCCCGGGGTGACGCGCAGCCACCACGCCAAACCCTCGGATCCATGCAGGCTCTGGGTGGGGACGAGCTCTGGGCTTGGGTGCTGCCTCCTCCAGCCAGCCCACGGGCGTGCAGCGAGGGCAAGGATGTCCCTTTGCCTGTGCTGAGCTGCAGGGCAGGGGCAGGCCGCAGGCTTTTGTTCCCCCAACCCGCCCATCGAACCCTCGTGCTCCCTGCGAGCCCGGGCTGCACAGCCAGAGCTTCTCCCCGCACACCCGTGGGGCAACAGCATCTCCGATACTATCGGGAACATCGGTCAGTGTGTGACACGACATGACTGTGCCACCCCCGCCACCGCCCGCCCAACCCACCAACTCCCACTGCTCCTGGAAATGCTCCTCTGCCTCCCAACACAGCCCAGAGCAGGGAGCAGCTGGGCATGGAGGACAGCAGCAAAGGTCACTAAGGTCACACCAAGAAAGCCGGGAAGAAACCACCACCCTGAGAGCAAACGGCTAAGGAGCAGATCTAAGTGCCAGTGCTGCAGGAGAACAAATCCTGAGTGACTGGAGGAGCTGGGAGCGTTCAGTGTGAGGAGGAGGAGGCTGAGGGGAGCCCTCATCCCTCTCTGCAGCTCCTGACAGGACATTGCAGAGAGGCCGGGGCTGGGCTCTGCTCCCAGGGGATCAGGGACAGGACAAGAGGGAACGGCTGGAAACTGCCCCAGGGGAGGGTCAGGCTGGGCAGGAGGAGAAAATGTTTCCCAGACAGAGTGGTCCGAGAGTGGAACAGGCTGCCCGGGGAGGGGGGAGTCCCCATCCCTGGGGGGGTTTCAGGGCCGTGGGGATGAGCTGGGGGGGATGTGAGCTAGGGGAGAACTTTATGTAGAGTTGGGCTGAGGGTTGGACTCGGTGACCCCGAGGGGCTTTTCCAACCCGAATGGCTCGGGGATTCTGAGGAGCCTTTTGCTGTGGCACAGCAGCGCCCTGTGAAGCCTCAGCCCTGGCAGGCACGGGGAGCGCTGCAGCTCTGTGCTCGTGCACGCGGACGCATCCAGAGCCGTGCGTCCCTCTGGCAGACGGGCAGCTGGAGCCCTTGGCTGACCCTGGCCTGGCTCCACTCCCGTCCCCGTGCACTCACCACACCGTTCTCAACACAGAAGCCCAGCTGATACTTGGAGTCGGGGCGCCGGATGACAGCTGTGGTGACAGGGGGACAGTGCACGATGTTCAGCGTCACCTCTGTCTGGTGTTTCAGCTCCTGGGAGGTGGGATGGGGCTTTGTCAGACTTTGGTTGAGAGGGGCGATGCAGCTGTGTGGCCATGGGAGGGCTGAGGACTGGGAGGATCCAGTCCAAGAAGTCCCACTCTGCCCCTGAGGCCACACTGTCCTTGCTTTCTGCTCCCTCCTGCCCCAGAGGGTATAAAATGCAACAGGTTCCCTCCAGAACAGGCACCTGCCTCCTCGCCCACCCTCCTCCTCGGGTAGGGCACCCTGCCCCAGCAGGTTCAGTCCCCAGCTGTCTCTGCTCTGTCACATCCCTTCCTCCCAGGCACTCAGAGCATGGCCTGTCACAGCTCAGGGGATGGGTACAGCCCCCCACATTCCTGCCCCCTCTGCCCCACAGCCTCCTGTCACCCCTCCGGCCCACGCCAGGAGCACCGGGGGGGCACACCCCGGCATTACAGACGCTCCCAGACACCTTCAAGCCAGTCCCTGTCTCTGCCAGGGTGGGGGCAGGAGGCCGCCCCCCACGCAGCTGCAGCTCACCCTGATGATGCTCTGGCAGGTGGCGAGGGGCAGCCCCACCAGGCTCGTCCCGTTGACGCACATGAGGCGGTCTCCGATGCTCAGCTCGCCCGAGCGCTCCGCAGGGGCCCCGTGCATCAGGTTGGCGATGACCACCGTGGGCAGGATGGAGCCCCAGCCCGACTCCACGATGGCGATGCCCAGGATCTCCCCCTTCTGCTTCCGGATGCAGACCTGGGCAGTGGCACACAGGGGTTACAGTCACCAGAGTCATGTGGCGCCCCAGCACAGGTGTCCTGAGCTCACAGCCAGCTGGGATGGGGCTCAAGAAGCCGTGGAGGGGACCACAGAGGTGTCAGTGGGTACCCCACACTGTCCCCACTCCTTCACAGCAGCTCTTACATCCTTGCAGTTCTCCTGCCGGGAGAAGTGGGTCAGCTCTGTGTTGTATTGCTCCTGGTCCTCGAGGGCACGGCTGTACTGGCGAGGGCTCAGCTCGCTTGGGTCAATGCTGTTGGCCTCCAGGAAGTGCTGGTAGGCCACACCGAACGCCTGCCCGATGGCCTGAGCAATGATCTGGGCCTGGGGAAAGAGAGGGGTCGTTTGTGTCCACAGCTCAGGGCCAACAGTCTCATGACCAAACAGGAGCCAAGAGCTCCCAGCACCCTACAGCGCCCAGCACAGGCACCACCCTGGCTCCTTCCCTGCCTGCCTGGGCCCCTTTACGGTGCCAATCCTCCCCCAAATCCTCCCCGGGCTGCTCTGTGTTGCAGAGGTGCTCAGGGTGGGCTCCTTCCCCCTTTAGGTGCTTATCAGGAGCCCCCAGCACAGAGAGTGGGACCGGGCCCGGGACACCAGCACTGCCCCCCCGCTCCCAAGAGACTCGTGTGTCGCCTCACGTCAGCCGAGTGGAAGACGTGGCAGATCATCTTGTAGAGCCTCTTTTCCTCCGCCACCTCCGACCGCCGAGGCAGCTTCCGGCGCGCCATGAGCACCACGAGGGAGCCGATGTCGGCGATGTAGGAGATGGTCTGGAGCGAGTGATCCATCATGGCCTCCTGGCAAGGGGGATGCAGGCAGAGAAGTTCAGCCCTCCCCAGCACGGTGGACCCCAGAGGCAGCCTGCAAGCCAGCCAGGCACGGCCACCAGCACGAGGGGTTTGGGTTCAAACACCACGGTACGGATGCAGCTCAAGCACCTCTGACATGCTGGGCAGAAACCACGCCTACACTGAAAGGTGCAACCAGCTCCTTCAATCCTGCGTGTCTCTGGGTGCTGCTGGGGGACAAGACAGCTATTCCCTCTTACTATAAAGCAGAAAGTAATCCTGAGGCAAAGAGCTACTGAAATGTCAGTCTAGGTTCCCTGGAGCTTGGTCTGGGAACCCAGCAGCTCCCGGGAGGTGCAGTTTGCACGAGAGGCCTCATGCAGCCACGCAGAGAGCTGAGGGACATGACACATCTGTGTGGGATGGCTGCAGTGACACGTCTCTTCCCAGATGGGTGTACTCACCCACAGGCCATCCCTGGGCTCAACCCCACTGGCGTGGGCACAACGCAGATCCCAAGGCCAAACAGGAAGGTTTCAGCAGCCCCAGAGCCATGCGGGTGCTCCTGTTCCCCACTCACCTGCGTGTCGGCCGTGAGCACCTTTATCCTCTGTGTGGAGACAAACAGATCCACGTCCGTCATGGGCTGGGACTCCCCCTCCGGTGCCTGCAGAACAAAGGGACCAGGGGAGGTCACTGCTGCTGCCAGGACTCCTCTGGGTCCCTGCCCCACGGCCGGGAGGTCCCCCTGAGCGCTGCACCGTGCCCTTGAGGGGCCAGGCTGGTGGCAGTCGTGCCCCCCTACCCTCCTGCACCTTGATCCTGTCCACAGCCTCCTGGGCCTGGGCCATGCGGACGCTGGTCGGGGGGTTCCTCTCTGAGACCAGCTGCGTGGAGCCCAGGTACTTTGCCCCAAAAATCACACCGTCCAGCAGATCCTCTGGGTCGCAAGGGCCTGGAACTGAGGCATTGCGAATAACTAAGCAGGGGCTGGTCCCCCCACCTCTGAGAACTGGGGGTACCAGCTCCTACTGCCCGTTAGCTGCGTTCTTAAACATGGCAAAGCAGGTCAGCGCATGGGAGACAGGGTCTGGCATCAGTGTGGGACCAACTCTGACCCCAGGGCTGCTTCCCCCTTCCCTCAGGCGCACCCTGGCATCCCCCTCTCCCAAGCCTGAGCTTTCCCCCTCCCCGACCCCTGAAGCATCAGGGCAAGCTGGGATGGAACAAGCCACTTAGAGTCTGCAGCCATGTTCCCACCGTGCGTGGGTGCAAAGCCGGGTGCTCCCTCCCCAGCTGGGACCACTGGCCCCCCAGCATTCGGGGTCAGAGGAGGAGGTGGTGGGTCAGGACTCCTGGGTGGTTTTGCTGCTTGAGCACAGAAGCAACTCACCCTCTTTGAAGGCCGGACAGGAGGATGGGGGTTCCCTCTTCTGCAAAGCAACGAGAGAGCAGGTGAGGCTCTGGTTGGGATCCCAGGGATTCACGCCCTGCCGCACAGCCAGGCTGCCCCGGGGGCACCAGGACAGTGAGGGGCACAGCATCCCGAGGCATGGGGAGCGGGGAGTGCAGGGTCCTGGGGCTGGGAGGAGCAGGTCCTGCGGCTGGGGAACTGTTCCAACCCACCAGCCTCTTCCCCAGAGCACAGATCAACCAGCCATGCAAGCATCCCCCTGCCTTCAAGGCAGCAGGAGCCAAAGCCAGTACTGAGCGTCTCATCTGGGCACCCCAGCAGCATGAGGCCGCGTGAGACCTGGGGAAAAGACATCCCTGGCTCCCCTCTGTCCCCACCCAAGACTTCACGAGGGAGCCGAGCCAAGGGGCACGTCCCGGCTCACTGCCGCACCGCCGCAGCCCCTGCGCGATGCACTCACGGTCACAGCGCCTTGGGCTGGCTGCTCTGCCTCGGGGGCCGGAGCAGGAGGCAGGGCCACCCAGGCGGGCTCCGGGGAACCATCCCGATTGCCCTCACAGGCAGAGTCGACCTCGCAGAGCCCCTCTCCGTAATACCAGCCGCCAGAAGGTCCTTCCTCTGAGCTCTCCGGCCTCCCCAGCCCTTCAGGCTTCTCCACAGTGGCCAGTTCCTCCCGAGCCTGCAGCATCTCCAGGTTGGTTCCAGCCAGGACTTCGGAGCGGGCCAAGGGTGTCTCGGTGCTGGCTTCAGGCAGCCCCCCCTCATAGCACAGGAGGCTCAGCAAGTCCTCGCGGTCAGCCTCGGCAAAGAGCAGGCCGTGGCAGGGCCGGGAGCAGGCTGAGTGCTGGGCGCAGCAGGGCTGCGTCTCCAGGCCCCGGCCCATGGCCACATGCAGCGGGCAGGGCCGGCACTTGCCCTGGCACTCCCGGGAGCTCCGCCGGCTCTGCTCACCTGCCAGACGGGCTGTGCCAGCGCTCGAGGAGGGCAGTGGGCCCCGCTCTGAGGTGGGCGAGCGGTCGCAGAGGTTGGGGTCGAGGGTCTCGAGCTGGGCCAGCAGGCCCTGGATCTCCGAGGGCTCCTCCTCTGCATCCTCGGCCCATTTGGTCCCAGCTGGGCGCGTGCTGGTCTCGGGGGCCTCGTCCAGCTCCATACCCGTCAGGTCGCCGCTGCTGGGGGCTCGGGGGTGTCCTGCGTCCCGAGGGGTGCTCCTGGCGCCGGGCTTCCAGCCGGCAGAGCCCTGCGGCCCCGCGGTCGCTGCCTCCTCTTCCATCT